AATGAGTCCTAACATGAATCATGCTGCTTCATCAGGAAGATTCACAATAATTCAGCCTCGTTCTTTTCATATTCAAACAACTCTGCATAAAAGAAAGCTCAGAATAGCTTTACCTTAAAGCTGCAGTAAGCTCCATAGCTAGCAGACTAATGGAGCATTTCAGCCTGGTCTGAGGAGACTGCTTTTCCACTAAATGGAGCTCACTCCACCTTCTGGAAAGTTTAGTAAAGAGCACACCAGTGCACCTTGAAGTAATTGTCTTGCCTTACTGACCACAAGCTAGTCTCAAATGTTAGTTTGCCATCGCTTGTGTAGCCATCCTCAGATTTTGAACATTTGGGTTGCTTACAGGGTTTTAGTGCATTTTATTTTAATCAGCCAAGCAAGTGGCTTGATTTGCTTATATAGGGTTAAAGTAGCACCAAAGGGGGAAGGATGTAGAGATGCTAGAGGTCGTGTGTGAAAAGGAAGTTTTCCATTGAACGCCCTCTTGAATTCTGAGCCCTGTGAGCATGTTGGCTACTCAAAGCACACGTGCTAAAGGCTTTTTGTCTCCCAAGAGTGGCACTAGAACCTGGCTGCCTAGGCACACAGCCTGACTTTTTGGTATATGCGCTCCCAGAAGTACATATAATGTGCCGTGGGGACTCAGAGAGCTCCGTGTCTCAGGGAATAACATTTCCACTGAACACTGAAAGATGGATGCGACTCAGGCTGATCTGAGACTCCCATGGGCGAAAAGAGGCCCAGCTTGCAGCAGGTTGAGGAGCAAGGCTATCTGTGGTATGGAGAATAGACACTTAAAAATAATAAAAGGTGTGGTATCCTTATGTAGTCCAGGATGGCCTATACCTTGGAGTGATCCTCCTGCCTCAGCCTTCTGAATGCTGATATTACGGGCATGTATCACCAAACTTGGCTTTAAATGAGATTTTTTAAGGAAAACAGAAATGAGTATAAAAAACGGGTCCAGACCTAGGCTCTAGGGCTTGGAATGGATCTCCAAGGTAACCACATCTTTGAAAGTTTGATATAGGCCAGAGATCCCATAAGAGTGTTTTTGTCATTGTTTGTTTTGTTTTTATTCTCTTAATTTCTTTTGTCACAAGGTCTCATTAGATAGGCCAGGCTGGTCTGGAATTCACTGTGCAATACAGGCTAGCCTGGAACTCATTATATAGTCCAGGGTGGCCTCAAACTCCCAAGTCTCCTGCTCCAGCCTTCTGGACGCTGAGATTACAGGTGTGTTCCACTATACATGACTGTAAGCTGCTGTTGGCTTGCTTTGGTTTTCATTTTGTAAGAACCGTCTTTGACAGCATTTCCTCTGCAAGTAGCGTGGAGGCCAGTGACAGCATGCTCCTGAAGTACAGGAAACAGTGGTAAGAGCAGAAGCTGGACGAACTCGTCATTCTCCTTTGACCCAGATCAAAGCAGGTGCATCCTGAAAGCTCTTGATCCTGGACAATACTCAGTCTCACCTAAACCAGGCACTGGAAGCCACTGTGCTGTCCCCGTCTAATAAGCGACTCAGTGACTCATGCTTCTAGGGATCCTGAGAGCTCCATCTGGGTTGCCTTTTACCCTCTCAGATCCCTAGTCCAAGCACCACTTCTTAGCCTCCTTCTGTACACGCTAGACCCAGGGGCCTCAGACACAAAGGAACTCGTGAGGAGCGACTCTGCTTAACCACCTCCCAGGCTTCACTTTTGTTTCTGCTCCCTAAGCCTGGAGCTTCTCTCAGAGACAACTATCCCTGCATTGCAGCAAAGCTCTGCAGATCTGTGGATGGGCTCTCCACATCCTAAGAGGCCAGGCTCTTTGAAGTCTATACACCCCACGGCACATGCCACTCCCCACTGCCAAATTCCAGTGCGGTGGACCAGCTTTGGGTACCAGCTAAGGGGCTTTCTAAACATCACAACAAATCCTCACAGCAAATAAATGGGAGTAATCTTTCCTGTTTAGTTTTTGGGTTTTGGGAGGTTTGGTTTTTGAGACAAGGTCTTACCTATCCCAGGATGGCCTCAAACTTAACTATGTAGTCAAAGATTACCTTGAGCTCCTAATTTTCCTGCCTTTACCTCCCATGTTCTGGGATTACAGGCATGTGCCAACACACCTAGATACGTGTGGTTAATATCTTCTACCAAATGAGGAAACTAAGACTCGGGGAGTATACAAAAGCCCTTTATTCAGCGCCTTTTAATTCTTTCTGTTCTTTTTGAGATTATAGTATGATAACATCATTTCTCCTTTTCCTCCCTCTATACCTTCCCATACACCTCTCTGGCTCTCTCTCAAATCCATGACCTCTTTTTCATTATTTGTTGTTACATGCGTATGTGTATATGAATATACATATGTATTCCTAAATATAACCTGTTCAGTCCATGTAACATTACTTGTATGTATGTTTTCAAGACTGAGCAATTGGCACAAGATAACTCTTCCAACTTTCCTCGGAGACCTGTAGTTCTTTGTGTAGGGCTGAGGCCTCCTGGGCTTTTCCCTGTCCACTTTGGCATGTGTATTGATGTCATCCTATTCACGCCTAGGCAGTCCTGTTGGAGAGACTTTATGGGTATAGCTTCTGAAATTATTATTATTATTGTTGTTGTTGTTTTTGAGACAGGATTTCTCTGTGAATCAGTCCTGGCTGTCCTGTAACTCACTCTGTAGACCAGGCTGCCCTCAAACTCACAGAGACCCACCTGCCTCTGCCTCCCAAGTACTGGGATTAAAGGTGTGCACTGCCACGCCCAGAGCCTTCTGAAATTATTAAGAGACACAATCTCACAGCAAACTCCACAGTCCTCTGGCTCTTAAAGTCTTTCCACACCCTCTTCCACAATGTTCCCGAAGTCTTATGCATGGGAGTATTTTGTACACGTATCCATAAGGAATGAGCTTCACAACTGCATTTTGATTGGTTGTGGTTTTCTGTAATGGTCTCTGTTGCAAAGAGACATTTCCTTGATGGGGAGTGAGGACCACATTTATCTATGAGTATAAGGATACATATTTAGAATGTGTTTAGGGACTATGCTGGTTTAGTACAGACTTCACTAGCATTGAGTAGGAGGCTAGGTTTCCAGTACCAGACATCATTTCACTCTTGTTGAGTGACTCTTAAGTCCAATTAGAGAGCTGTTGGTCACCACCAAGGTAGGCATGCCACTACTGTACCTTTAGAGTTACCGTATTATATTTATCCTGCATATTTTAACTAAGGTCCTATGTCCCATATGCTTGGTATTTCCCTGGGTTTCAACAGCATGTATTCTGGGTCAAGAGTTGGCCAGTGAATGGTAGCAATGTCACTAGTAAATAGATAAGAGCCACCAGGGAAGTCAAAGATGATGGAAGAGAAAACTCTTGACTGTGTGACCATGGACGAGATACTTTTACCTCCTTAGGGACCAGAAGCTCTAAGCTCCCCCATTGGTTCCAGCAGCATTTACTTGAGTAAAGTTTCCCCTGTGCTAGGTGGTCCTGAGCTCTATGTTGGGAGCACAGAGATGGAAGACAGTTTGGCCCTGCTCTTCTTCTGATTCCACTTATCACCTTGAGACTGTCATACATTTTCTCCATATCCCCATCTAAAAGTGCGAGGAGCAGAGACCTGATCAGTAAGATCCTCAGAGCTCTTAATGTGATGGGTCTCATCTGCCATGGGCTCTCCAGACCCCTTCGTATCTGCTTTCCCAAGAGAACCAGGTTTGCCTCCCTTACCTCTCTCTCCTCCCCTGAAAATTCTCAGTAGACGTGGTCTTCCTTTTTTTTATTGGTTTTTCAAGGTAGGGTTTCTCAGTATAGCTTTGGTGCCAGGCTGGCCTCAAACTCCCAGAGATCTGCCTGTCTCTGCCTCCTGAGTGCTGGGATTAAAGGCTGGTACCACCACCGTCCAGCAGTCTTCCTTCTATGTGGCCAGGAAGCTTCAAGAAGCAGCTTGAGTCCCAGCAAACTCAGGAGAAAGAAAAGAAAGAAAGGGCTGATGTATGTGGGGGTGGGGGGCTTCTAGGTACATTTGACAATGAAAGCAGAAAGCAGAAGGCTTTCCTAAGATCACCCTGAAGGGTCACATTAATTAGATCAGCAGTGAGGGCTTGCATCTTCGCCTAGGTGGGACAGATGGATCAGTATTGTCTCATACTTGTAGGACATTTGATATCATTTTTTGTTTGATTTTTACAAGCACACTTTTAGTTACACAAAGCAGGAACTTTTTGGATATCTTCTATATTCTAGGTCATATGCAGGGAATATTGATCTTTTCCAAATTTAACTGTATAGACATTTTTGAGATTTTTTTTAAATGTCTATCTCTTCTGTTAGACCCTAAGCTTATTGAAGTCAAAATTGTGTCTGTCTTCTTCCGGACTAAATTCTCAGTACATAGCAATGGTGACTTACAAGCAATATCATTCAATAGATAATGACTAGGAAAAAAATCAATTCTGAGATATGGAACTTGGAATGGTCTTTAATTTTGCAAAGACTGATAGACAGAAGCGCAACCCTTAACCAGAAACAGGCAGACGGTCAACCGCCATCTGCTGAAAGCAGTGATAATCACTGGGAGGGTTTTCACATTGCACACTGGGCTCCAAGTCTTGTGCTGAGCACATCATGATTATCCACTCATTCAATCCTCAAGATAACACTTTGAAGCAGGCATTCTCATTGTCCCCAATTTAAAGATGGGTAGACCAAGGCCTGGGGAGTCACTAACTTACGAGTGTCAGGGATCAGATCTGAACTCCTACTGTCTTGCTCTGAAGTCTAGGATTCTCCCCCACTATACTTACTGCCTTGCGACATGAATTTTCCAAAGGGAATAGTCGGGGGGCATGGAGTGTGGTGCAGCTGCAGTTTCAAGCAGTAGTTTTCCATATTTGCCATATGATGTCTGCTGATCCAGAACCCCTGGGAACAGAGGCACAAAGAGGAATTGGAGGAGTGCAGACAGGCATAGTGCGCAACAGTTCTATTGGGCTGGGTGGCTCTCAGCTGAAGGAGCCAGATTGGCCACTGGAGCAGAAGCAAATGTGGTCCCTAGATGCCTTTTCTGTAGCAGGTACTAGCAGCAGGCTGCTTTGCAGAGCTGCTGGGTAAGGAGGACAAAGCCATTCTTCTGAACTACTTAGAGGCCATCCAACAGCTAAAGCTACCTGAGGCCACTGTGGCCTCATCAAAAACAGCGGTCCATGTACAGAAAGAAAACATACTAGTCTAATGTGCAATCTTATGTGTGTAGGAAGTTGGGGCGGAGCAGGGAGTCAAACAAACTGGAGGAAAGGTTTGGTCAAGCCTAACAGCAGCTCAGCAGCTAAGCATATAAGATATAAGAGATTAGAACAAAGCGTCCGACATCAGCTCTATCTCAGTGGCTTAGCGCTTCTGCTTGAGCTTCTTGCCCCAGTGGACCAACACTGAGACCATGGCCTTTTTCTCCCAACTAGATGTGCAGGAAGGCCTCCGAACACTCTCTGTTCTACAGTGGATTCCAGTCTATGTCATTTTAGGTGAGTAAACCTCAAGGGCCAGAGAACAGATCCAGAAAGAGGCTGGGTATCCCCACATGAGGAAGACTCTGGTGCCAGCACCTCCTTGGGTTCCTTTACCCACTTCCGGGGGAGGTCTGGAGTGGAGGCCCAGAGGTCAGGAGGGAGCCTGTAGCTGTTCTGGTTTAAATATTATCCCAGTCTTCTCAGGAGTTGTACCCTATGCACTATCCAAAAGGGATCATATGTGAGAGTCGGACAGAGTGGTGGTTGCTTGATAGATTAGTGTTACTAGAAAGTTCTTGGATAATTTCCCTAGTATAAGAATGTTGTAAAAGAATTCTGTAAAGTCCAAGGTATGCGTGAGTGACATTAGATCTTCAGGAAAAGCTAGCTGATGTTCAGTAGACTCAATAGTCACTGTTGGGCTAATGAACTCAAAGAATCAAACCAGCAGCCAAGGCCTTCTGGGAGGTCAACTGTAGAGGCAAGCTTAGAAACTTAGTGGGGAGAAATAATGGCATCCTGAGTGATGGGATGGGTAGGGAATAGATGGTACCAAATCACAGTAAACATATGACCTGTTAGAGCAGAGGGGTTTTTTGTTTTGCTTCTTGTTTGTTTGTTTTAAAGCTAGGGTCTCTTCTACGTAGCCCCAGCCATCCTGGAACTCACTCTATAGACTAGGCTAGCCTTGAACTCACAGAGATCTAGCTGCCTCTGCTTCCTGAACGAGAGCAGAGATTCTTAACCAGAGGGTTGTAGACTAAGAATTCAGGGGCAGCTTGGGGACTTTCAGTTTTGGTGGAAAGAAACGTGTCTTTCCAGTTATTCACTCTAGATGGGATGTAGGCATTCCTTCAGTGATGAATGTAGGCAATAAACCTCGGACGCGAAAGCAGCTTCTCTGATTCTGTCAGTAGCAGGCACAGCAGAGATTTGCATTTCATTCAAGTAGTTGTTAAAGCCATCTCAAAGTTTTACTCATGCAGATGATGACTTCCAAATTCCAGTAGTTATTAGAACTGCCGTTAAGGCTGGTCTCTTAGTTCATAGAGCAAGACGTATACCTGCTACTGTAGCACACTGTGGGTAATGTGATCGCCGTGTTTTAATATGCGCCCTCCTTTGTGTGATGAGTATTTTATTGATGCGCTTAAGAATATTATTCAAAGAAAGGTTTGTATACATCATCAGATTGTCAGAGGGATCCATACCCTCTAGAAGACGCAGGCTTCCTAAGCTTCATTAAAATCAAATCACGCTGAGCTCATCGTCTGTTTAACTTTGGCTGTGTCAAGAAAAGGAAATTAAACGTGGTGAGTTTTTTTCTCAGCAGGTAAAAGGTCTTGCTGATCAAACATGACTTCAGTCCCAAGAGCCCACAGCTGAAGGCAATAACTTACTCCTTCAAGTTGTCTTCTGACCTCTACACAGACAACATGGTATGCGTGCCCCTGTGCTCTCCCACGTCACACCTCATACGCAAATAACAATGATGCTGATAGAAAAGAACAGATACACACATTTTAAAGAAAGGGAAGTTGAAAGCAGGCAGGCCTAGTGGCTCACACCTGTAATTCCGTCACTCAGGAGGCCTAGACAGGACTGCTGTGAGTTCAGGGCTAGCCTGGGCTACACAGTGACCAGTGAGTTCCAAGTCGACATGATCTAGAAAGTGAGACCCTTTCTCAGAAAGAAAAGAAGGAAAGAAGGTAGTAGGTGAGGAAGGAAAGAGAGGGGGAGGGGGAGGGAGGAAGGAAAGGAAAGGAAAGGAAAGGAAAGGAAAGGAAAGGAAAGGAAA